CCTATTTCCAGCTTAGAAGACTTTCAAAGCGGCTTTGACTCCTTCCTGATTCCAAACCTGACCCGCCATCAATTCCATGAGTTCACAATTTCCTCCAGTGGAGGATACTGATGTGGGAAGACACACATATAAGAAGTTTCATTTTCCAAAGGGGACTGAAAACTATGTCCAGAATTACATGGGAAGAAACCCTTATCTTCCACTGTTCCTCTGAGAGTAGGAGAGAACATTGACGAGGCTCAAGAATTCACAGTAGCCCTCCTGTTCTGCTTGTGGTCTACTACCCATAGCAAAAGGCAGTATCGGCAGGTGTCACAAGCCGAGTGATGAGTGTCCCGGCCAGGCTCCACTCCCTGAGGGGCAAGGACCTCCTTCTAAGGAAAGAAACTAACACTCCTACATGTCTGGCATCTTTACACACAGTATCTGACTTAATCCTCAAAAGTGACATGGTAGAAAGGATTCTGGTCGCCTTTTCTGACGTGTTTTCTGCATGACATCAAACCATTCTCTGACACCAGCTGGTTGTGTCCTACCATTCAACTAGGTTCTGACACTGTCTACCTGGAGACGGCATCAGATCCCACAGGTTAAGGTCTCCGTCCTGTAAGAAAGCACCTCCTCCCCACCACCACCTCTTCAGTCACACGTCCAGCTTGTCAGCTGTGCTTGTGACGAACCAGCTGTGTATCTCGGGGGCTCCCACGACCTCTTCCTTGGGTTCGATTAATTTGCCAGAGCGGCTCACAGAACTGACAGAAGCATTTTACTTACTAGATTACTGGTTTATTATAAAGGCTATAACTCAGGAACAGCCAGACAGAAGACAGGTACGGGAAAAGAGCCGGAAGCTCCCGTGCCCTCTCCAAGCACACCACTCTCCCTGCACCCCCAAGTGTTCACCAAGCCAGAGGCTCTCCAAATCCTGTCCTCTTGGGTTTTTATGGAGGCTTCATTACACAGGCATGGTTGATTAGGTCACTGGCCACTGGCAATTGAACTCTATCCCCAGCCCCTCTCCTTCCCTGGTGGTGGGGAGATGGGACTGAAAGTTCTAACCCCCTAATCACCTGGCGGGTTCTCGTGGCAACCAGCCCCAAACCTCTGGCACTTTCCTAAAGTCACAACATTAACATAACAAAAGACACATTTCTGGCTATCATGACTTTGGAAATTCCAGGGGTTTTAGGAGCTCAGCACTAGGAATAAGGCAAGAACAAATACATATATTTCTTATTATAAATCACGGTATCACAAGGGACCTAATCCTCAGGCTTAGAGAAGTTAGGGAGGTAACGCAGCTGGAGGGGAAGAGCCAGAGTCAAAGCCAGGCCTTGAGAGCCTGAGAACCTTGGCGCTGCCTGCCCAGGGCATACGACCGCCCCCTGGATGTGGCCCTCAGCATCATATTCTATAATCGCTGCCTCACTGGACTGCCTTCCCCAGCGGACACAAAGCCACCGGAGGGGTAGAAACCTGTCCGAAATATTTGGGAAGCCCCAGTGTCTAGCACAGAATATGACACCAAGTAGGTTCAGTAACTAACTGATGAACAAATGAGGGAGCTAACAAATATTTATTGAGCACTTACTATGTGTCAGGCACTGTGGACACAGTGTGGGCAAAACAAGCTTATCTCCAGCTTGTCATCTAGCTGAACAGACATAATCAATTCATCATACAAATGTGCAGTAATGGAAAACAGCTGTACAGGCTCCAACAGTACAGAGCACGTCCTGAGGGCCAAATCCGGGCCTTAACAGAAAGAGTCTGCCAGTCAGTGGTACAGAGCAAGGAAAACAGGCCCAGATGGCCAGGACTAGGGCAGAAGGGGGAGGATTAGTATTAGTGGTCTAGACGATTTCCCTAAAAAATTATTAAAAGGCTTTAAGAACAAAAAACAAAAACCAGAAAAGGCCAGGCCAGGGTGGCAGGAGCAAAGAGCCCAGGGTGAGGTATGGGGCCCTCCAGGCTGTTAAGGACGTGGGTCCTTTTCCCAAGAGCAGAGAGAAGCCAGTGGAAGGTTTTCCATGGGGGAGTGATGTGTGGGAATCTGCTTTCTGCAGAATTCTCTCAATGCAGAGGAGGCAGGACAAGAAGGAAGACAAGGAGTAGTTCTATGCCAGCCATCCTGTGAGCATGTGGGGACTGGGGCGAGGCGAATAGATCTGAGATCAGTCCTGGCGCCAGGCCTTTTGTCAGGGCTGAGGAGAGCGGCGACAAACCCTTTCTTTTCAGGCTTCATGACAGTTGTATTAAAGTGTTCACAAATTTTCCGTCTTCAGGTTAAACTTTCTCACAGAATGAGGACAACAATGTGGCCTTTCCTATACAAAGGTGGTGCCACCTTCAGCCAAACACATTTCAAGATAAGACCAAGACTCTGATCTTGAGAAGGAACCCTCTGGGGGGGAATACAATTTAAAAAAAAAAACAAAAAAAACACTCAGCTTCAAAACCAAGATACTCACTAAATGTGATGTAACAGAGAAAGAGTAGACTCTGGAGCCCAGGAAACTGGGCTCCGACCTCTGATTCTATCATTTTCGAGATTCTGTCATTTTCGAGACGACTCACCCAGGCTGTGTCCGTTTTCCCCTGAGCCTCTGTTTTCTCACTTAGGCTGCCCTCCTCCTGAGGCTGCCCTGAGGACGGAGAGTCAGCTCCGCCAAGAGAGGCTGCAGCTCTTACTGCCATTGCCAGTAGGAAGCAGGATATTCCCTCTGGCCATAAAGCACTTACCTGGAAGGAATTAACTTCCTAAATTTTACTATAAAACACAACAGTTTAGGGGTAGAGCTCAGTGGCAGAGCACGTGCTTAGCATGCATGAGGTCGTGGGTTCACTGCCCCAGTGCCTCCATTAAATAAATAAGCCTAACTACTCCCCTCCCCTCCAAAAAAATTAAGTTAAACACAACAGTTTATATAATAAAAGTTATCATCTAAGAGCATGTTAACCTAACGTTCAGAAATGGATTCTCTCTGTCAGGAAATGAACAGCACAATTACGAAAAGTGATAAAGAAAGGAAGTCCTGACTATAGCACACACACGCACGAACAGACACACACACGCTTTCATGCACACACGCGCACACAGCCTGGTTCAGCAGATCCAGGATGAGATGCAGAATTGCATTATTAATTAATAAGCCTCCCAGGTGATTCTGATCGCAAGTGGGCCTTGGGTCCCAAAATGAGGAACCCAGCCCTGACCCAGGCCAGGCCCCATTATAGGCCCTCAGGAAGAAATGAAGCAGTAAATCGGTTTAATGATCGAATGTCACAAACATATACTGTGAACCTAGTGTATGTCGGGCACAGAATGTCAATGTAAACCACTGAGAAGGGAAAAACAGAGAAGCTGCCCGTCTGCCCTCAAAGCTCACGGCCTCATGGTGGCAATAGTGTTTAAACACCTGAACACATACGGTCCGAGGCTGCGCACACACTCAACCAGACACTGAACCTCACTGAGCACCTTCTAGACGCTCCTGGCACTGGGGATGCATCAGTGAAGAAGACAGCCAAACATCCCCGCCCAGACAGAGCTGACAATATGGTACGGGAGGCAGAAAAAAAAAAAAGAAAAAAAGCATAATGTACAGTTGTTAGTTGGTGTTAAGTGTCACGGAGAAAAACTAAGCAAAGAAGAGGTAGAAAGGGTATAATTTTAACTCTGCACCAGCTTCAAACAGTCTCTGTAACTCCGTTAAAATGTAGCGCTACATGCTTTGCTCATGGCCGGTGAAGTGTCACAAAAGAACAAGGGTTCAGGGGCACAGAGAAGGGAACTGGCTGCGCTGGCGGGTTGGGGTCAGAGGGTAGGGAACAAGCACTGGCGCCAGGATGAGATGAACGCTGAGCAAGTGAGTCCCTTCCTTGCCTTCCTTTGAGGGAATGCTCCTCCTGCCCCACCATGGCTGCAGAGCATGAATCAGCCTCGAAAGACTTCACTGGGCACTTCCAGCAAATGCTTGTGTCTCTCTTACCTTTGCCCCAACGTTGCTTCTCCTCCCAGGCACTGTTATAAGCGCATGCACTTAGGTCAGCCTTTCCTGGCTCATGGGGGTCGATGGCAATTTTTAGGACTTTTCTTTTTAATTATAGAAGGGACACACGATCACAGTATCAAATATGAAAAATACTAGAGAGCGTAAAGATTCCCCATAGTCTTAACCTCAACATTATCTCTATTCACATTTTGGTAAGGTTTTTGCCAGAGCTGCCGATTAACATAGTAGGACCACTCTGCATCTGTTTGCTTTGTTTGTTTGTTTGTTTTCATTGAAGTTTAGCTGATTTACAATGTTGGGTTAGTTTCTGGTGTACAGAACAGTAATTCAGTTATACATATATATATATTCTTTTTCCCTGTGCTATACATTAGGACCTTGTTGTTTATCTATTTTATATATAGTAGTTTGTATCTGCTAATCCGAAACTCCTAATTTATCCCTCCTCTCTCCCTTTCCCCTTTGGTAACCATAGGTTTGTTTTATATGTCTGTGAATCGCTTCTTGTTTTGTAAATAAGTTTATTTGTATCACTGCATCCATATTAATTTTGTATCCTGCTTTTTATTTTTACTATATTATTTTTAAAATACTATACATGCATTTTTCTGCTTAAAACAAATTCTGTATGGACATCAATTTAATGGCTATATCACATTCCATTCTACTGACGCACTACCCTTTATTAATTATTTCCCAATTGTTGAGCATTTAGATTTCTTAGTTTTCATCATTATAAACTATGGTGAAAACAACTTCATGCAGAAAAACATTTCAAGCAACTCCCTCGGAACAGATTCCTAGATGGAGAATTATGGGAAGCTGGAAATACTTTAAACAAGTAGTTACTGCACAGACGATCAACAGATCACACAAACTCGATCGCTCCACCACCAGGCAGCAGCGGCCGACTACAGAAGCTGGTCAGTCTCTGACCACCTTTTAGGCCTTGTCAGTTAAGGGTTTTAGGAGCTTCATATTTACCTGCTGTCAGAATCCGAGGCGATCTCCTTCCTCCCTCCAAAGCGGATCTGGCACTGCAAGGAAAAAGCAGCCACTGAGTACAGCTGTTGGGATGGGACACTTGAGAGTCACAAAACAGCCCACATAGGCCTGCACGGTCACCAGGGACACAGGTCCAGAAACTCTGGGTGCCGAGTCAGGGCGTCCCCATGCTCTGGGGGAGAGGGGGTCAGCCCAAGACGTAAGACGGTGGACACCCTAGCCTTGCAGCCGCCACTTAAAGGAAGCCCTTATCTTGCACTTGTACAGAAGCGAGCCTTGTGTGAAAACAACGCCAAGAGGAAAACAAGCACACGGCCTTCCGCAGATTATCTAGGAAGCTTCTTTATCCATCAGCAGCTGACTGTCTACAACACAGAGCTCTTAACAGGCAATAATTAAAACTTCCACACATCTGTGATGATGGGTCCCTTCTGACGGCCTAAAGTTGTTATGGCGGCTGTAACGTTATGACAGCATAAATCATCCTTCAAACAAGTCATCTGATTGTGCTGAACAACAATTTACCCAGAGAGGGTGGAAACAAAGGCAAACTGTTTTTTTTTTAACTTTGTTGAAATATAGATAACACAGCATTTACCGTTTTAACCATTTTTAGTTATGCAATTCAATTCACACTATTGTGTAACCATCACCACTATCCACTACTCTCTTTTAAAGATATAGAATCTCTACTATGGGCAGCAGGTTTGCAAGATTCTTGAACTTGTTATCCAGAAAAAACAATACATATATATATAATTTATACATATATGATTTATATTCATATAAACTTAAATAATATTTTTGACAAAACTCAGAACCACACACTTAAAATTGGTGTATTTTTATTGCATGCAAATTATGCCTCAATAAAGTTGGTTTTTGAAAGACATACACACTTTCACCCCCACAAAAAAAAACCAGTAACAACAACAATAATAATAGCAGCTCTGAGCAGAAGCTCCAATTTATTTCTGTCTAATTGCTACATTGAAGGGGTTCAACTTGCTTCTTCATCATCTTATTTTATTTTCCATTTCTGGAGCAAAGAAAGAAGAAACTGACAATATGGGCTCCATATTTATTGTGGACCAGGCAATGGCCCTTTAACCACTTTAACAAATGCAATTCCCTCAACAGCCCTGTGGAGATCGGTGACCCAATTACAGAGAAGAGAGATGCTCAGAGATGTTGGATGAGCTGCCCCAGCACACACAGCTGTCAAGAGATGAAGCAGCGTTTGACCCCAGCAACATCTGGGTCTGTGTTCTTTCCACCACACCAGGACACCTCGAGGCCTGGGCAGATGCTAAGTTCTCTTGGCTCACATCAACACTGAACAATGTTAAAGTACATATTTATCTTCACGTATCATGATTACATTCAGCTAATTGCCAGTCGCCCCTTCCAAAATGTGAGTTCCCAGAGCTGGATCCTAGCTCTGCTGCTTATTAACTGTAACACCCACAGCAAGTTATTGGACCTTTCTGCAGTTAGTTTCTTCACCTGTAAAATGGAAATAATGTCCAAGAACTATCTCACAGGGTGGCTGGAAGGATTAGATGTAAAGCACTCAGTAGAGAGCCATGCACATGACTTATGTGCAAGAAACGATGGATGTCTGGTAGCTACAAGCAAGCAAACTGAAGCCAACTTCGTGTCACAGCTCGTTTCCACACCCGGCCAAAAGCCAGGCATCAAAAATAGCATCAACCAGTCAGAGCAGAGCCCATCTGGAGGATCCACAGAATCCCTGAGCACGGCCTCATTTCTGCTCTTGCGCTCGCAGGGCCCTAACTCCAACCACCACTGCAGCACCCTTAAGAGTTGCCCTAAAACACAACTGCTTGGAAATGAAACTCTGAAACCCACATCAGTGCTCTTCTCAAAGGGACATCACTGAAGAATGGGGTCAGGTCCTCCAGGGGCTGTAGAAAGTCCAGACCCAGGAGCTCCTTCGTCCCTACCTCTGGTCGCTATCATTTTCTGGGGGAAGCAATGAGCCTCACTGTTCCAGATACAAAGTGGGAGTCCGTCTGTGTAGGTAAGAGGGCAGAAATGAACTTTTTGTTTGTTTTGGGGGGTTTTTGTTTGTTTGTAGGTAATTAGGTTTATGTATTTATTTAATGGGGGTACTGGGGATTGAACTCAGGATCTTGTGCACGCTAAGCACGCGCTCTACCACTGAGCTATATCCTCCCCAGAAATGACTTCTACATTAATTATCCAACACTATTACTTGACCTCAAAGTTAAGTGTGAGCTTTCTTCTTACCTGTTTCACTGCATCCAGCAGTCGCTCCAGTAGAAATTGTCTTTTCATGTCATTGTTCTGGGATCCTAAAATGCAATGAGGCTTGATTAGTTCTGTTTGACATTTGCCTTCTATTAAGACTTTCTGACATATACGGCTGTCCCTAGCTAGCATCAGACTTCTCTTTGACAAAATATTTTTTCTGATCATAAAAGTAAATTCATGTGATAGGATTACCATACAACCCAGCACATCTGGGTTTATAAGCAAAAGAATTGAAAGCAAGGTCTTGAAAAGATATTCGTATACTTATGTTCATAGCAGTATTACTCACAGTAGATAAAACATAGAAGCAACCCAAGTGTTCATTGACAGATGAATGGATGAGCAAAATGTGG